GCCGCTCCCCGCGCCCGCCCATTGTCTGCGCTCCGCGCTCCCGGCGCCCCTCCGGGGCCATTGTCTGGCGTGGGGGAGGACACGCAGACGCCCCCCGGTTTCCTCCCCACCATCCTGCTGCGGGATGGGGGGTGGGGGGATCCCCGCCCCGCGGGGTCCCACCCTCTGCACCTGCCCCGGGGTCCCACCTGCTTCCCCGGCCCTCAACCCACAGCAGAGGCATTTGGGGTGAGGATGCCCTGGGGGTGCCCTGGGCCTGGGGGTCCCCGTTTCTTGGAGTGGGGGTGAGTGGGTGGGTGGGGCTGAGGGTTGAGCCCCCCTTGGGTCTCCCCCACTCGGGGGGAGTCACGCAAAGCCCACGTCCCTCTCTGAGGGTGGGAAGGGGAAAGCTGTGCCCTGGCAAAGACCCCCCATCAAAGGGGTCTCAGCTCGGGGGGGGCACAGCCCACCTGCTCCCACCTTTGTGCCAGGCCAGGCTGTTTTGGGGTGGGGGTGAAGGACGTGGCTGTGAACTCCATCGGGTGCTCCCCACCCATGAAAACGGGGTTCAGGTCCCGGGGTGAGGGTCCAGCGTTGCCCCTGGGGGTCGGGGTGCTCAGGGGAGGGTCCGGCCAAGCCCCTCGGGGTGGGGTCATCGTGGTCACGCAAGTGGCAGCTTCCCGGTGCCGGGGAGGGGGGATCAGCCCCGACCCTCTCTCTGCTCCAGCATCAGCGGGTTGGGTGGGATGGCCTGGAAGACCCCCCTGCGCCCTTCCCCTCCCAGCTGCTCCCTTGGGATGCAGAGGGAGCAAGGAGGGATGAGGTGGGGACACACACACACCTGGAGACCACCCCTTTGCAGGGAGGGACTGGAGAACAGGGAGCCGTAGTGGTGGTGGGGGCTTCACGGGGGACCCGGTGTTTGGAGCAGCATCATCCCCTCGCCCGGCAGGGCTCGTGGGAAGGAGCTGTCACTCGTGGGAGTCACACACACACAGAAGGAGGCACAGCACCCCCGCTTTTACTCCAGACAGAAGCATTCCCAATCCAAGGGAGCCCCTCCACGCACAACCAGCCTCTCCACAAGGCCCTGGGCGGTGGGGAGGGGAGGAGATGGGAGGGGAGGGAGGGTCGGGACGGTCCCACGCGTGGGGAGCGCGGCGGAGCGCGTCCCGTGGCCGGAACAGCCGCGCCATTCTCTCAATGAGCGGGGCTGGGAACGGCCAGGCCCCGCCCCCTCGCCGATTCTGACCAATGGCGTGCGGCGCTGCCGGCCCGGAGCGTTCCCATTGGCCGGATTTAAATGGGTTGTTTGGTGTGAATGGGAAGGGGGGAAGAGAGGGCGGGGATTTTGGGGAGGGGGCGATGAGGAGGGGGAGAGGGGAAGGGGAAGGGCGGGGGAGAGGGGCAGGGGCGGGGAACGATGGGGCGGGGGCAGTGGGGTGGGATTATGGGGCGGGGGCGACGGGGCGGGGTTTCTGGGGTGGAGATTATGGGGCGGGGGATTGTGGGGCGGAGGACGATGGGGCGGGGACAGAGGGGGGCGGGAATTCTGGGGCGGGGAGCGGTGGGTCTGGGGGCGATTGGGCAGGGCCAATCCCGCCCCCCTCCCCACCTTTTCGCGTGGCCCGATGGGCTCAATCCCTGGAGCAGCCTTGGGGTGTAACTTTGGGGTCGCAGGATCTGTGGCCAAATTCGGGTCCTTGCGATCCCCGGTTTGGGGGTGTGGGTCTTCCTTGTCCCCCCCTTCCTCCCCAGCAGCTGTCCCGGGCTGTCCCCTCGCTCCCGTTCCAGCCCCGGGAGTGATTAATGGGCGCTGGGAGCTCCTTCCCGGCCAACTGGGGTTGCTGGAGCCTCCCGGCCATCTGGAAGGGCCGCTTTGTTCCACCTGGTGATTTACGGGGACGGTCCCCTCCCTCCTCACCCCGCTCTGGGGACAGGGGGCTCCTCCCCCTGCCCAGGGCACGGCTGGCAGGGGTGGGGGTCCCCAAGCCGGGGTGTGGGGACCGTGACAGGGGGTCTGGGCTGAGCGTGTGGGGACCCAGCAGATGGCACTGCTGCCTCACCGGCGGGCTGGGGGACAGGGATGTGACACCGTGACATCCAGGGGGAAGGGGGGACACACGCAGGGCCCCCGGTTCAGCCTGGGGCAGTGCTGAAACCAGGGGTGTCCTTCCCCCTTCCCAACCCAGGGGATCCCATCCTGCCTCCTTTTAGGGGGAAGAAGGGACGTGGAAGGGGGGTCAGGAGCCAAAACGAGGGGTGTCCTTCCATCTTCCCAACCCATCCTGTCCCGGCTGCTCCTTTTAGGGAGAGGAAAGGACGTGGAAAAAAGGCCAAGAACCATCCCCTGTGTGTCATCCCCAGGCAGGGACACAGAAATGCAACTCCAGGACCCTTTTTCCGGAGGGATTTTCCCCCTCAGGAAGCACCAAATTCCAGGACCAGCATCCCACAGAGCCCAGGATGGAGAGATGAGAAGAAGGGAAGTCTGGAAGTGTGCAGGAAAACACCGTGGGAGGCAGAGGAGAAGCTGAGCTGCCATTTTTTGGAGCACAAAGCACATTGAGGGACACCACCCCACCCCCCAAAAAAAAAAAATAATCTGTCAGAGTCTGGCATCCAAATTAGTGCCAAGTGTTTCCATTGTCAGAGGCACAATGAGGACCATATGTCAGGGCCCAGGGCTGGCAGAGGGGACAACGGGCCCCAAAGAGGTTTGGGGAGTCACTGCCACGGAGCTGGTGCTGCCCTGACCCCAATATTCCCTCCTGGAACTGCAGGGATTGGGATGGGGATGTTGGAGCTGGAAGGGTTGGGAGAAGAGCTGGGTTTGGGTGCAGGGGGTTGGGGACATGGAGCATCCCAAGGGGAAAATCAACATTTCATCAATGCCATCAGCAGGAATTGGAGTGATGGACAAGGTGGGGGGAATGAAAGAGGGGAAATTTAGGTGGGATATTGGGAAGAAATCCCCCCACACCTGGGAGGGTGAGGAGGGCCTGGCACAGGTTGCCCAGAGAAGCTGTGGCTGCCCCTGGATCCCTGGAAGTGTCCAAGGCCAGGATGAAGCAACTTGGGCTGGTGGGAGGTGTCCCTGCCATCGACTGGAACAAGATCTTTAAGGTCTCTTCTCCCCCAAACCATCCCGTGCTCCTAAATCCATGAGCTGGGACAAAAAGGAGGGCCGAGGTCCCCTCCCGTGCCCTCGTTTGCCCCTTCAGGGCTGTCTCGCCCTCCCTCCCCCCTCTCCCTCCCTTCTTGGTCGTTGTTTCCCTCTGGCAGCGGAGCCGCAGCCGAGGCCAATTGATTAGAGGAAGAAATTTGGAGCAGGTCGGGAAGCAGCTGCAGCCTCGCCCCGGGGGACGGGCGGGACCGGCGCGGACAAAGGAGCTGGAACGGCCCGGGGGGAGCTCCGGCGACCGGGATGGGGCGGGGGGGAAGAAGCGACACGGGGTCCACACCGATATTCCAGCGGTTTGCAGGAGACACCACAGGGAGAGGGGGGTTTGTCGGGGTTTGGAGATGCTGAGGGTGGGCTGGGCGTCCTCATCCCCTCTGCTGTCACCGCAGCCGGCGGTGACAAAGCCAAGCTGGGCTCCGACGGGGCTGGCACACCCAGGGAAAGGCGAAGGTGCAGGATTTGGAGTGCCAGGAGGGCGCATCGCGATCCCTCAGAGCGAGCCCGGCAGCGAGCAGAGATGGTGAAAATTAAAACAAAACGCAACAAAAGGGTCAGAAAACGCGAAGCTGAGCACTGCAAGTTCAAGATCTCTCTCTTGTGCTGGCGATTTAATTCGTTTCCCCCTCCCCACCTTCCTCGTGAAGTCATAAATAATAAATCCTTGCACAGTCCGAGCAGCCGAACACGGGGAATCCAAGGGTGGCCTGGGGGGTTCCCGACGTGATCTTGATATTTTTTTACACTTGTTTCTCTCCTTTTCCTTTACCCAAAAGTGCACAACAACACAGCAAATAAATAATAATAATAATAAATAATAATAATAACATTTTTCAATAAATTAATTCAATAAATATCCTCGTGGCACAGAGACTGGTGAGTGCAGGGGAAGGGTGGGCTCATCTGCTCTGCTCTGGGGTGATGGGCGAGCCAGATTTGGGATCTGCTGCTCCAGCTCCCTGGAATCAGCTGCTCCAGCCCTCTGGGATCCAACATTCACTGACAAGTGAGACAGAGGTAGAGAACCTTCTCCCTGCTTCCATGGGGAGGGGGGAAAAAATGAGGTATGGAGAGAGGTGGTGCTGGGAACTGGAGGCAGAGAGGGGTGGGATGGAGATGTGAAATCCCGGGAATCCCAGGTGGGGTCTGTGGGGCCAAAACCCCGGGAAGGGGGTCCCAGGTGGCCCCAGGACATTTTTTTTTCCAGCTCTGGGGGTCTGGTGGAGTTCACTGACCCCCACATTGCAGCAGTGTCACCTCTGGCCTCCCAAAATCCGGATCCCTGCCTATCTGGGGATGAAGGTCGAGGAGGAGCAGCCCCATCCCATTCCCCTGGGATCCTGCCCCCCCTCCCGGGGCTCTGCTTTGTGCTCTCGCCACTGCCAGTGCAAAAATTAACTCTCAAACCCACCAAACACCCCCAAAACAAGGCAAAACATTCACTCCTGACACGAGTTCTCTTTCCCTTCCCTCTCCCTTCTTTTTCCCCAAGTGCTGCTCCGTGTTTTTGGGGGGGTCAGGGGAGATTCCTGGCTGCTGGAAGCTGCTGGAAACTGGGAGAAAAGGGGCCATTCCTGCTTCCTTCCCGCTGTTCCGGCCCCGCAGCCGCCGGTAAAGTGCAGTTCACCCCACGCTGGGAGAGGTGGGGCCACACCAGTGCCCTACTGGGAGGACTGGGGGGAGGGGGGAGGTTTTGATGGTGCCGGGGAAGGGATTTGGGGTTGGGGGAGCCAAGGATGGAACCCCCACCCCCTATCAAGGTTGTGACCCCCCCTCAGGTCCTTCTCACCAGGAGGCAGAGGAAGAGTGGGGAGGGATGAAGAGCTGCGGTGGGGGGTGGTGGGGGGCTCTGGGTGCCTTGGGGGTCACATCTGTCGGGTTGGGGGGGTTCACACTCGCTGGGTGAGGGGGACTTGGGGATCTGGGGAGTGGAACGATGAATTTTGGGGATGTGCCACTGAGGGGCTCGGAATGACCCCTGGGTGTCCCCTCCAGCCTGGCACAAGAGGGGGATACCTTGGAGACCCCCCCACCTCCCAGTGCTGCTCCAGCCTCTCTGCTCCATCTCCCAGCCGCTGGAATCCACGGAAAGCGTGGCCAGGTCCATCCCTTCCGTTTTGGAGTGGGGGGAATCTTTTTAGGGTGGGGAGAGCCGGGACAGGCAGGGAAGGAGCCCCGGGAGTGCCTCGGGCTGTGCTCCCCCAGCAGAGAGGACGGTCCTGGTGGGGAGCTCTGGGTGCCCACACGATGCCAGGGCAGAGCAGGACGTGGGATCAGCATCAGCAGGATGGGCAGAGGTTGGGGGGACACACGGCCAGGCAGCGGATCCAGCAGGACAGACGGACATCTGAGGGGCCAAACATCCAGCTGGGCTCGGGCAGGACGGGAAGACAGATGGATATGGGGTGTGGACAGACAGATGGACACAGCGCAGCCTTCTGGGTGCCTGGCATGGGGGTCAGGTCGCGGAGGGACAGAGGGACTCGAGCTCTTGGCTCAGAAGCCCAGCACAAGTTCAGGCAGGACAGATGGACACGAGCCGGGCGGCTCAGACACCCAGCACGTGTTTCAGCTGCAGATGTCGCAGATGTGACACGTGGACGGACGGACAGACAGACAGACAGACAGACGCGAGCCGGGGCCGCTCAGACGTCCAGCACGTGGTTCAGGTAGGAGATGTAGCAGATGGCCAAGCGCAGGATCTCGATCTTGGAGAGCTTCTTGTCGGGGGGCAGCGTGGGCAGCAGCTTCCTCAGCTCGGCGAAGGCCATGTTAAAAGCCTCCACGCGGATCCTCTCGCGCGTGGCGTGGGCTGTCCGGTACTTGGCCGTGGCGCGGCGCCGGCGCCGCCGCTCCTCGCGGCTCAGGTGCTGCAGCTCCTTCTTCACGGGCTCTCCCGGCTCCACCGCCCGGGCCGGGGGGCACAGCCCGACCCCTCCGGCGTCCTCGGCGCTGCCCCCGCAGCCGCTGAAGGCGGATTCGGCCTCGGAGCGCGGCGGGGGAAGGTCGAGCTCCGTCTGCTCCGAGTTGAGCATCATCTCCGCGAGTGGAGGGGCGGACGTGGCGGGGAACGGGGCGAGTCACGGCTCCAAGGGGGGTCTGCGGCTCACAGCGACCCTCCGGGGAATCTCCTCCTCCTCGTCATCATCATCACACACCGCGTCCGCAGGGGGATTTGGGCATTTTCCCCCGGGCGGCAACTTTGGCAACAAGCGGCGCGGGGAGGACGGGGGGATGCATAAAAAGCAGATAAATCGCTGCGTGTCCTCCTCGCCGCGGGCTGCGAGCCCTCAGGTGTCAGAGCCGAACTCCTCCCGGGTGCTCTGGAAAACACAAACACGGGGAGGGGGGGGTCGGGTCTCATTCCAGGGGTCGGGTCTCATTCCACGGCTCCCTGGGCACGGGAGATGCAGAAGGAGCGAGCGGGGAGCGCTCCGGGAAAAAGTGGGAGCCGTTTCTCCCGGCTCTCCGGAGGGGATGGCAGGTGGTGGATGAGGGAAGGGGAAAACCAGCCCGCAGGGGGCTCGGGGAAGGGGGGGTCATTGTGCACTAAATGAGCCCGTATGTCACGGATCCTGCCACACCATCCCACCCCCGACATATGGAACCCTTCGCAGCTGCTCGGCTTGGTGCGGCCAAGAAGAGACTCCGTCCCTCCGGGAATTCTGCCGCTGCTTCCCCCTCCTCCTCTTCCTCCTCCTCCTTCCCTGTGCCCCCACAGACCCCTCCAGCACGTCGGGAAAGGCAGGTCCTGCTGCGGGAGAATCTTCCTGCGCTGGGCAGGGGAAGGGGGGGGGACAAACTTGGGATGGACGAGCCGTGACCTCTCTCGGGGGAAACTTGTGCTGAGCCACAGCCCAGAAATGGAACAAACCCAACAGGGGACAGGGGAGAAATAGTCCCTACCCTGCTTGAAAAGACTTGCAGGAGGTGAGTTTGCAGCAGCAATGTCCAAAAAAGCCTGAGGAGGCCCATCAGCGTGTGCAGAACTGTCTGAGCACCCCCAAAATACGTCTGGTGGGGTCTTTGCTCACTGACACAAACACACAGGTTCTTGCACACACACAGACATATTTCCCACCTCCTGGGCTGTGGATGGCCAGGATCTGGACATCCAGGATCACATTTATGTTCTCCTTAAACGCTCTCCCTGCTGCTCCGAGGTGCTGGGAATTTGGTTTCTTGTGCTGCCTCACTGCCCCCTTCCCACCCCACTCCCACCACACACCCTGTTCTCCTCTTGCTCTGCAAACCCAGGTGTTGAACCAGAGGGTCAATCTGGCTGCTGGAGGTTCCATCCAGGTGCAGATGAGATGCCCCAGCAGGAATTCCACCCCTGGAGCGGCGGCTCCGCTGCCTCCCTGGCTCCATTCCTTCAGCGCAGGGAAGGAGACAAACCACGGCCTCCCAGGGCACCCAATCCATCCCTGGGACACCAGCACTGAGGAAAGAGCAGGACACTCCACCCTGGAAGCTCTGTGGGCAGGCAGGGAGGGTGACCTGGAGCAGGGACAGCCTGGGAATCACCACCAGTCTGGGCACAGTCCGTGGGATGTGTCGCTGTCCCCGGCTCTGCATCCTCAGGAGGGAATCAAAGGTGCATCAAACACCCAAAAAAGGCCCTCCTGGGGGGCTCAGGATGTTGGCAGGAGACACCAGACCCATGAAGCTCAGCTGGACTCAAATAAACTCCTTCTCCCGCTCCTCCTTCGCTGGGTTAGTCCAGTCCTACCCAAGCTTTTCCTCTGCGTGGGAGACTCGTGCTCCAAGTGGTTCTTTCACCCTCTTTCCTTTGGATAAGCTGCAAATTGCCACCTTCCTAAATTCACCTACTGTGAGAACTTCTTTTTAACCCACACTTGCTGCAGTCCTGCCTTCAGCAAAGCCCCCCCAGTGCTCAGACCCCTGAGGGGCAGTAACAACACTTCCCACCTCCCCTCTTACCCTTTTCCTTCCACTCCCGACAATCTTCCAGACAATTTTTTTTTAGAAACTCCCAGGCCACCCAAAGTGTGTCTGGGACCTGCTTTCAGGCCACCTGGATGGAGGTTCCTTTCCCTTTTCCCTGCTCTGAATCCTCCCGTGCCAGTGCCAAGAAGGTTTGGATGCTAAACCCGGCCCCCCCAGGTCAAGCCCTTTCCCAGGAGTCCAGAGCCACCTTCCCACATGGATTATGCAGTTTAACTCTCTATCCCCCTCCCATTCCAGAGCCACCCACCCCCCGGGACAGCCCCCTTACCCCCAATCCAACGATCATTCCCGAGGTCCAGCTCTCCTCTTCCCACAGGACGAAGCTCAAGTAATCCAAGGAGGGAGGAACCCCTTGGCTCATCCATCCATCGAGGAGGGAGAAAGTTTCCCTGGGTCTCTCCCCTGCTCCGTGGGATGGATTTGGGCTGGGGAGGAATCAAGGAGAATCCCGGCAGCCTCGGGGCCCAGGCATGGCCCTGCTCGGGCAGGAATGTGGCTTTGGAGCCTCCAAGGGGGGCATGTTCCCCAAACCCCTATTTATCCAGCCCGGCCTCGCCCGCCGGGCCCGACCCCGAGTGTCTCATTGGCCGCTCGGCCGCTCCCCCCTCATCAATATTAAAGACGGGAGTGGGGCTGTCATTGGCTGTGCGGGACGTGGGAGCCCCCCGGGACACGAGGGAGGTGGAGGTTGGATGCGGTCCGGGAGGGTGGATGGGGTGGTGGGGTGGGCTGGGCTGGGAGGGAGGGAGGGAAGGAGGGAGGGAGGAGGGTGCGGGTGCTCCGGGAGAAGGCGACATCTGTTCCCCCTGCATATTTCATAAAGGGGGATGGAGAGAAGGGGACGGGACGTGGACAGGGGAGGCAGGAGCGGCGCCGGGAGAAGAAGGACCATTCCCGGGTGATCCCACCCGTGTGCAGCCCCGCGGGGTGTGACGGGGCTGCGTGTCCGTGTCTGTGTGTCCGTGTGGAGCTCCCTGAGGATGCTGTGGGGTGGCTGAGCCCGGGGGGGGGTGCCCAGACCATGGCCAGCCCACCAGGTCCTGCTTGAAAATCCACCTGAGTGAAGTTTGGTGAGGAAACCGAGGGAAAGGGAAGGAAAGGGGAGCGCAGAGGACACAGAAACTTGCTTTGAAACACTTGGAGCAGGAGATAACGATCCTTTGGGGGTCGACCCCGGCCTCTGCCTCTCACCCTGCTCGAATCCTCCCGTCAAAACTCCTCCTTGAGAAAATCCCCAGCGCTTCATCCTCACCCCCACCGCCTTTGGGAGTCCTCCCCCACCTCCCAACGCCTTCGCTGGACTCTCCCACCTTTGTCTTCTCCCTGTGCCCCCCTCCTGCCATCGCCGGGGGCCGGTGCCCGCCCCGCACAGCAGGCGAAGCCCAGGTGATGGGCACGGACACCTGGGTGGGCTCCAGCGCCTGGCACGGCTCGGCAGATGGTCCCGGAGTTTGCCGAGGCGGAGGGATCAGGTGGCGGCTCCGGAGCCTCCTCGCCATTGCTATGGCACCGATTAGGAAACAATATTCCCTTAATGAGCTCGTGGCAAAATGGGAGCGTCCGCCCTCCCTACCTCACCCCCCTCCTTCCGAGCCCGAGGCGCGCCTGGATCCCGCCTGGATCCCCCCGCGCGTCCCGCATCCATCGCATCCATCACCCCGAACGCAAATCACCGCTCTCCACCGGGAAAACGCACACACACACATCCCAAATCCTCCCCTTCCCAAAACCTCCCGCTGCACATCCCACCCCAAATATCCCCCTCCCGGGCACGCACATCCCCCTCCCCATCTCCTCCCTCCTTCCCGGGGCTCCCCGGAGGACGCTGATGGGCTGTTGGTGTTTATTCCCTGCCCACCTCCCCGGGCCCGGCTCTGCTCCCCCTGCCAGGGCCGCCAGCAGGGCCCCCCCCCTCCCCATCCCTCCCCTCTCTCCGCAGCTGATCCCGGGCTGCTCCGGGCATCCTGCCGGGAAGAGAGGGGGGAAGGATTTTGGAGCTGCTTCCAGAGCCTTCCCACTGGGATAGTGGGCTCGGGCTCGGCCAAATTAACGGGAAGGTTTCAGCTCCCTCTGTCTCGTCTCCAGTCAAGTGAGTTTTTTTTTTTCAAGGATGGGGAGTCCACAGCGAGGAATCCTTGGAAAATATTCCTCTCTTTTACCCTCTGGCTTTGTCCTTCGCTCCTGAGTATTCCTGGTTGGAAGAGAATGGTTTTCCACGTCAAAACCAACCTGTTTTCTCACCTGGCAGGATCCCTGGAACATTCAGAAATCCCTCATTCCTTGGGATTCCTGGGCCTCCCTCTCAACACAAGGGGGCAAGAAGGAAGAGGTTGCTGAGGGAGCACAGCCAAGGATTTAAAAGCTGCCTCTGGTTTGAGCTTCACCTGAGAGGTTGAGGGACTCAGGTGGGTCCTTTGTGGTGTCCCCACCCGAGGGGATTTGTCCCCACCCAGGGTTTGTCCACCTTGACCCGGGCATGGAGTGCCAGGACCAGTGGGAATGGCTTCAAACTGCCAGAGCAGAGGCTTAAATTGGATTTTAGGGAGAAATCCTTCCCTGGGAGGGGGGTGGCACAAGTTGTGGATGCTCCACCCCTGGAAGTGTCAGGCAGGAGCAACCTGGTCTAGTGGAAGGTGTCCCTTGGCCCACGGATTGGAACAAAATGCTCTTTAAGGTCCCATTCCAACCCAAGCCATTCCATGATCCTGTGGTTTTGGGACCCCACAAGGCTCAGGGATCAGCTGCAAGGGGCTGGGGTGCTGGGGGACCCTGAGCAGCTCCTGTGTGTGCTGGGAGAGGTTTGGAAAGAGGCTGGAAGAGGCAGCATTTGGCAGGAGATGAGGTGACATATTGTACAAAGCCACTGGGGACCACTGGGCCTGTCTGGGAAGACAGGCAGCTTTAACCCTCCAGCTGCTGGAGCAGAGCTGGGCCCAGAGGTTAGGATTGGACGTGGAGAGGGGGCTGCAATTCCATCCTACAGGTGGGGTGGGACACCTGGATGGAGATCAGCCCAGGCAGCCAGGAAAGATCAACTCCCTGGGGACCCTGCAGCTCCTACCCCTGCTCTGGTGCCTTCCCAAGCTGGGGGCCACACACAATTCCCAGCTTTCCAGCCTGGGAAGTCTGGAATGTTGTGCCTGGAGGTGCCCAGGGAAGGACTGGCCGTGGCATTGGGTGACAAGGTGGGGATGGGGCACGGGGTGGGCTCGGTGGGATGGGGGGGCTTTTCCAGCCTCAGGGAGTCTGGGATTCTGTGGAGAAGCACCAACAGAGCCTGTGAACCTTCACCTGGGGGCATGATCCACTGTCAATCACAGAATGTCAGAACGGTTTGGGTGGGAAGGGACCTTAAATCTCACCTCGTTCCACCCTGCCATGGGCAGGGACACCTTCCATAGACCAGAGCGCTCCCACCTGGCCTTGGACACTTCCAGGGATCCAGGGGCAGCCACAGCTTCTCTGGGCAACCTGTGCCACCCTCCCAGGGAGCAATTTCTTCCCAGTATCCAATTTCAACACCTGATTCCCCCTCCTTCAGCGTGAACCCACCCCCCTTGTCCTATCACTCCAGGCCCTTCTCCAAAGTCTCTCTGGTGTCTCTTGGAGCCCCTTCAGGTCCTGAACCCCCCAGTTAGGCCACCCCAGAGTGGGGAAGCCAGGCCTGGGGGCTGTTTTGGGGGCATTTGGGGGTGCCATCCACGTGTTCCCACGTGTGTTCCCCGCCTTCAAACGTGCTGCTGGGTGCCTGAGGAAGGTGTGTGTGTGCACACCCAGGTGTAGTTACTCCTCCCAGGAAACTCCTGGAGGGCAGGGAGGGAGCCCTGAGCTCTGGGAGCCCCCTTTTGTCTTTTTTTTTTTTTTTTTTTGTGCCTGGCTCCGGGGGCCAGGGCAGGTTTTTTGTCGGTGACAGACGGCCCCGGTGCTCCATAACCACACAATCTGTCACCACCACCCCTGACAGCTTTCACAAGGAGCCCCCTTCCCTTTTCTCTCCCCTTTCATCCTGCCCTGTTCCCTGCTCCTCTGCTCGTCCCCCTTCCCCTGGCTTTGTTCCCCCCTAAAAGCCAAATAGCGACAGAAGCTCCTGATCATAATATTGCTCTAATCGAGTCTGTCATAATCAGATCCAATCTAATTACGCCCAGATCCCTCTCTCTCTCCTCCCGACTCTCTCTATTGCTTGTCCATCTGTCCCCCCCTCTTCCCTTCCAGTCTTTGTGTCCATCCATCTGTTATCTGCAGGCCTTTCTCCCTTCCCAGCCTGTCCCTGGGCCCCTGCCCCATTCACAGCGTGGCCACCCCGGCCCTTTTCCTCCAGCGGCTCCGTCTCCAATCCATCTCCCTTAAAGGCCTCTCCATCAATCCATTTAGAGCAGCTCCTGCCTCCTCCAGCCCATCTGCTTCTGCCTTTCTGCTGGCTGGGAGCTGTGGAGATGCTGTTTTTGTTCCTGATGTCGATCTTGATTAGCCCCCCGGAACCTCTGCTGGCGCCGGGGAAGCATCACCTGGGCGGCAGAAACATCCTAAAAACCATCTCCCACCCCTTCCTCCTCCTCCTCACCCTGCTCTTCCTCGGCTGAGGCAGGTGGAGAGCAGAGGTTGGAGGGCACAGGGTGAGGCCCTGGGGGGGGGCTGCACAGGAAGGACAGGCTGGGTTTGTCCCCAAATCACCTCCCTGTGTCTCCCCAGCAGGGCTGTTTTTCCTCCAGGAATCCACACGGCTGGGTGGACAGACAGACAGACAGACAGACAGGCAGGGGGTGATGGTGAGATGCCACTGGGTGTTCCTGCAGATGAGGGAGGGCATGAGGAGCCCAGGTATCCCTGTGGTGTCCCTGTGGTGTCCCCGTGCCGTGGATTTGGGACACGGCGTCGCTCCAGGGGCTCTGGTGCTGCCGGTCCCTGGTGGTGCCAAGGACAGGGGGAGGAAGAGACGGACCCTGGGCAGGCTCCAAGCTGGCAATTCCTCTGCTCCTATTTGTAGCAGTTCAGCCCCTGATTTCAAACACATGTTGGACTCAGATTCCTGCTGGGTGCCAGCCAAGGCCCTGGCTCGCTCCGCTCCTGCTCCTGAGCTGCCTTTGTTCCTTCTGCTGGACCTTGTGTTGCTCCCAGACAGCCCCCACAGCACCTTGAACCCTCCAACATCCCCAGCTCGGCAAAGGGGAGCTGTTCCCAGGGCTCTCCCAACCCTAACCCTGCCCCCTTTGGCACAAACCCTCCAAAAAATTAATCCCCTCACCCCCCCTCCAAGGACTTCACCTCAATTTTAGCTGCTGATAAGACACCACCGAAGAAGACACCAATTTTTGCCCTTCCTGTCTCCACCGCTTCCTTCTCCCAGAAGCCAAAACAGCCCTGCCTTTGTTCTGGGTATTAATTAACTTTCCTGCCTCTTAATATTCCAGAGCCATAAAGTTCCCAGGAGTGGGGAGGCCGAGGACTGAGAAAACACCCATTTCCTCTCCTTTCTCCTCTCTCGGTGACTGTGTCACCCCCATATGTCCCCCCCTCCCCTCGGGGCACGGGGGGGCAGCTGCAACCCCTCCTCCTCCCCGGGCTCAGCCCCAGCTGAGTTCAGGGGGTCAAAGAGAGTCGGTGGCATCTTCTTTTTGTGCAGAAATCCCGGCAAGAGTCGAGCGGGGAGGGAAGGAGGGAGGGAGGGGAGGAGAGCGATGCTTGCAAATGATGCGCACCGGGAGGAGGAGGAGGAGGAAGAGGGGGGGATGTCTCAGCAAGATGCCCGAGGGCTCCGGGTGGAGACAGCCCGTGCCAGCTGCCCAAAAAAAACCACCCAGCCGGGCTCGGCTGGAGCTGGAGGGGGCTTGGGGTGATCCGGGAATGGGGAGGGGGGTCATGTCCTGCCGGGAAGTGGAAGGGACAGGCGGATCTCACCCCCAGGAGCAAATCCCAGCAGGAAGGTGCAGCCTCAGCCCCGG